AAGTGAAATCTCCCGAGACCGGCACGAAACACTTCCACCTATTTCCTGTCTCCCGCTGTTCACACTACATTTTTTAAAATTATTATTTTATTTCACGCATTGTTTCATGCACAGTTTGTCATATTCAATTTGAATATAAGCATAGAGTACTACACTTCTTAAAATTGTTTTGTTTTATTTACAATTCCTTTCACGCCACGCAGTGATAAGATTATTTAATGAAAAATAATATAAGATTGATGAAATAAAATGAATAGTTTTTATTCTACACTATAAATTAAAATATTCTCTGTTTTTAATAAGCATTCGTGTAAATATATTAGTTTTTAAATACACATAAATAATAATTAATAATCTGCGTAAAATAAAATAACATCTCCCGCAAATAAAAATATTCGCTCTTTTTACAGAACTTTAAATGAAATTGTACAGAAATTTTGATCCTCTATTCTCTCTAATCCAATATTTGCGCACTATACAATTATCTATGTTACTACACGAGCACGTAATATAATAAATAAAAGAAAGACACAAAGTGTTCTTCAGATACAATAGTAAAAAAGTTTCAATTATTTGATCCTGTACGCAAAATTAATTTAATCAAACTAAGTCAATATTCATAAATTTCATGAATTTTTCATACTGCTACTTTTTCTACTCGTTTGAATAGGTAATCATATTAATGTCCAAATGAAATTTTATTGAGAAAAAGCCACCGATATTCGATTTTTTCCCCACCGTGGGAAGATGGGAAAAACTTCAGTTCGGTAAACTTTCGCTCTTGTATATCTGCGTTCTAGAAATTTCAAGAGTGGCTTGTCTCAAATCAATTCACGATTTCCAGACGTTAACTTTTAGCGAAGCAGGGAGGTATCTGCAGGATAAAGCTGAGCGATAAGATGGTTGAGGGAAGTAAGGAGGTCGAGAGAACGGAATGCGCCGGAGAAGAGCGATACACACACAGCGCGGCTCTCTCCTCTCAAATCAAAGTTAAGATATGCAAAAGGGAAGTTTTTGAAGATGTGCATACGGAAGCAGTCGATAAATAACGCGGTAAAGGGGAGCGGGGGCGAATCTGCCAACAAGCGAGCACTCGCTAAAAGTCCAAACGATGGGAAAACTTTCGACACCCTGAGCGATGAACGTTTTTTTTTCCTTGTATTGCACTACGACGTAAAGGAACGTCCGTGCAATTGACAGAAATATGAAAGAAACATTAAACGAGATGCGAAAATCTTGATCTCTTGGAAATTTAATCATATGACATTTTTAATTTATCTTAATGTGCTTTCTTTCTTTGTAATTAAATCTGAAATGTGCAAAAATTTCTAATTTTTTTACGAACTGTCTCCCAGTATTCTTGTTCAGGCAATCCTCTTAAAATCATTTCTAATTCTAATTTAAAATTCGATAAAAAATAAAAGTTTTATGATGTCTCTTTATGCAACATTTAAGAAGAGATTGAAGAGATTAGTGATGTATAATGTAACGCTATGTACAATATCTTCCGCACAAAAATGAACTCTTTTTCGAGAAGATATAAACGTGTAATAATTTCTCCTCACAAACTCTATTTTAAAAGAAGCGGAGTATGTTTTAATCTCTTCTCTTAAAGTTCCGTAGACAATCTCGCAAATTGCATAGCTGATTATCTTGCAGCGTCGCAGCTCAAAAATTTTCCTTGCCAGTGATTGTGAAAGAAGATATATCGAATCGATTTTCCAATAAAAAGAAGTTTCGTGAGAAGTCTAGTTTACATTATAGTGAAAAGGAAACGAATAATAGTTACACCTCGACATTTTTTAATTTTTTAAATATAATTTTAATTTCAATTACGCTTTGACACTTTTTAACCTCAAAATGTAACTTTAATTATAGTACATTTCCATGTGTTAAATATAATTACGTGCGCGATAATATTTCTCTTGAATGAAGAAAAATTGTGAATCGTATAAACATGAGAGATATCTCGAATATATATTTGTGCAGCATTATTGCTACACCACATCGTACTTAAAAAATTAACCGGTTAATTTAAAAATCAAGTTTTTTTTAGAGATATGAATTTTAATACTGAGCAGACACAAAATTATAAATTTTTGTGAAAGTAAAATTGCACTGTAGTTTCAAGATGACGCAAAACAGTTAAAATATTTATAGACCTGTGTGTGACAACAAATACATTTTTTAAATCTACCTGCAAACTAAAACAAATTTATCTTTCTGCATACTTTTCACATAGAGGTGTCTCGATACTGAAATATCGATTGTAAAAGTTACATAGCTCTCTTTTAATACGTGCATGTGTGTGTGAATCATTTATTTATATAATATGGATAGCGAAACGTGATGATAAATGATAGCTGCCAGAAAGAGAAGTTTGACACCTCCTAAAAGTTTGAAACTTTGCGCACATGCCATTATCTCTCGTTAGATAATGATGGTTGGTGAAACATATATGCACTTTTTTCTGGAGATAAAAGCGATTATCCAAATTTTTCCTATTTCTATCTATTTACGAAATATTGATGTAGCAAATAATTGAAACTATCGTAGTATCTCTAGACAAGAGAGGGGCAAATCGAATGAAGACATGTTACCTTAATTCACTACATCTTTTGGCAACATTATTTTGATATATCGAAGCCGAGGGGTAAACCGCTGAGGGCATTGTGGTGTGCAGGTTTCGGGCATTACTAGGCATTACTAGGCGTTTTTGTGGTGGAGCATTATAAAAGATCTAAAAAGATAAAACAAGATGAAATAAGATAATAGATACGGTAATGCTCACTGGGCATTAGTAAGCATTGGTGTACATGATTTTGGTCAGCGGTTTACCCCTCAATCAAAGCGTTTCAAACATAATTATGATACATGTATTACTGTTGATCAGTGCACTGTAAAGCTCGATATAAAATATATGATACTCCCTTATGCCCTACACCTAAGATCCTACTTGTGGTTTATCTGTAATTTTTGCCTATCTACACTACTCCCTCAGATGAACCACAAGTAGAATCATCCTTAGGTGTAAAAGGAACATCGGATGAGCCACAAGCAGGCTTAAGCCTATCACACAATAGGAAAGCACAGGCAATAGGAATAGGG